GCGATTCCAGCGCGAACTCAATGCGTTCACTTACGAATTGCTGGTAAATTGAAGCAATTTCATTATTCCAGATTAGTGATTTGTGTATGCAATGAAATTCAGATCATCCCACTCGCTTAGTGCGACTGCTGCCATTGATTGTTCTGCTTGTACTCCACAAAAAAAATGAAATGCGCATTTCTCATCCCAAAACTATCGCACATTTTTCCCTCGCTTCCAGCCCTTTGCGATATTCTATTATATACTTACATAATCAATTCCCCGCAGGGAAGCCAAAGTATGCTGCTGTGCTAAACTTCAATGCTGATTCCGATTAGGTTTGGGAACTGTGTAGTGCGCAGCTTTAGCTCACAGTCGGCTGCCTAATTTATATCTGTTGTTTTTTTTCTTTTGCATTTTCATTGTGGCAGCTACTTTATTTTTAACAATGACGACACGACATGATTTTTGCAATTATTGTTATCATAAAATTGTTAGAAAAATGGCACTGAAGTGTAAAATTTAAGATGCTGCAAAAAAGTGTAACGGACATACATAACTGGCTGTGTTAGTAGTAAAATTTAATTTTAGTTGACTGGACACTTTTGTGTTTCTACTGCACTTTAACAAAGTAAAATCAAGAGGCACCCAAAATATCGGTAGCTCTCAGTTTTATAACAAAATCACTAGAATTTTGTTTGCATTTTTTTGCAGCACACAAAAGAGATAGGACCGAAAGGGAACAGTGTACCCTGGAATAACCCGTGAAAGTTCAAACCTTATCTCTGCTTAAATTAAGGAGTTTTATTGAACGTAGATGCCTATTAAATATTTTGTGTACGTAGTTGTTCATGATTTCTAGTGGACTATGAATGGCAGATTCAATGCACTGTGGATGACTTCTCTGAAGTGTGCCTCCAAGATTTTCTGCATGCCATTTAGGATGAAGGATATTATGCTAAATCGGTGGCTGAACCAAGGTTCAAGTTTCCGCCATTCACCCATAGTCTTTGGCCTATTGAATAGTTATCTAACCTCGCATATCTTTTAGCCAAACTTCCTGTTCCACCAAGAAACATCAAGCTTGATTTGTTGAAACAACTTCTATTGAAAGCTAATGCAAAATTTAAGTGAAACTGCTCAGCTTCAGTCTCAAGCTACTGTATATTAACGACTGAGCTCATGGAGATGATGGTGAATTGCTTTGAACAGCTTAACTGGCTGCTTGTGGTTCTTTGCCTTTGACGAATACTGTTTCTACTCCTGCGCATCCATATATGACAGCCTGGGAGTCAGGATAATGAACGTTAAGCGAAAACATCTTATCGTTTAAAGAGCTGCCTAGCTCCAAAACAAAAAAAAAAACCGTTAAAAAGTCGACAAAGATAGTGCGTTTGGATATCTTTATATGTCCCGCCATCCTCATCTGGAATGGGGATTCCAGGTGGCAAAATTTGGAACTCTAGCTATTCAAAGAAAGACTTTACAATGCCATTCGGATTCTTACTGAGCGCTGTATGGATGGAGTTTTGAACGTTTCATCCGTCAGCCAAAAAGTAGCTAAGTAACTTTCGGAAGCTATAGCCAGCTGAACCTTGTGCAGTGCACTCTTGAAGGATAATGGTTACACGATGTAACCTCAGCCGAGGGCACAGTTTCAGTCCCAGCTGGAGGTTTCCTGCTTACCCGTTGCTTGGTATGAGAAATTTCATCGGGACTCCGCCCTGTTTCTCCCTCTAAGACGGTTTAGTCGATCCTCACGCTTGTTGCACGGCACTTTTTCATGTAGCGTTTGAGGCGTTTTCGTCTATCTCCACTCAGCCGATCGCAGCTTTTGCTCACATTCCGTGAAATACTAAAATTAGTTTTTATTAAAGCTGTGCAGCTCCACCTGGCTTTTTATTCGAAATGTTATTCTCTTTCGTTGGTTTGGTATTCCCACGAGTACGGTGGAAAGTATTGTAGCTGGGATATAGGCATCAGTTTTCTGCGCAGGACTTATTACAGTCAGGCTGACTCCGCTAAAATAACCATATTTAGTATAAGCAAGGACGACTCCTTCTGGGTGTGACTCTTATAAGGTTAATAGAGATGACTCGAAGAATTTGTGGTCGAAGCAAAGAACTTTAACTCCCAAAGTCTATATGGTTGTTAAGTCATTGCGTTAGCATTTTATAAAAAGGATATAAAGCTTCTCAGAGTAACTAGCCTTCATTTGAGCGAAATAACTGGCATTATACCGGTAAGGAAATAAACTACTAGCGAATTTAGTTCTCTACTCGTATATCGACCTATAACTTAAAAGCACACATTAGTAGAATTATTCATAATGGAACTTAAAATTCATCTTCCAGTAGCTCCAACGACTATCACCACAACTAAACAAAACTTTTTTTGCAAGCTGTCTTTCACTTTTGTATTAATTTAAACATAAGTTCATCAAAATTAACAGTAAAATCAAATGTAAATCAGCAATAAAAGTTCGCTTAATATTCATTCGAAACCCGCAATGCGATAAGTCAAGTACTGCTAACATCGCTCGCCTCCATCTCCCCGCCCAGTCGCTGGCATGCGTGTCTAATTTAATTCAATTTCATTTGAATAAGTTGAAAAGGAAATCAGTCAGAAATCACGCGTATTTAATGGCGCTCATGATTTGGCACTTCCACGACCAGTTAGTTGGCTGACTGCTGCTCCACGCCACATAGCTCGACTCGCCGCCGTTTGAGGCAGGCAGACGCACTTCAACAGAGGTACAAACAGACATTTGTGCATATGTGTGTGCTTGCGAGCTACGTACTTGCAACTGGGTACAGGCAGAGAGGTTCGTCAAGTAAAAATTATTTTCCGCCTAAAGCTGAGCTAAGGCAGCGGAGCAAGCGATGCGGGTCGATTTAATTTAATTTGCAGCAATAATGGCGCATATTCAATTTACCCACGAACACATTTGGCGCCATAAAGTGCCACTAAAGCGTGTAATGCAAAATGAGGCAAGAAGCGAAATAAAAACAAAGCAGCGAGGAGAGAAATAGGAATTGCGTAAACAAAAACATAAACACGAATAGAAGCCTGATAGGCAGACGCACCGACAAGTAGACAATCAGAAAATTAAGCGCCGGGAGGTATATCGAGGTACAAACCGCGTCTGTGGCTGGGAGTGATGCTACGCACGAAAAAGCCATAATCGCGTTCGCTCGACTGCCGCGGCAGTTCACACCTTAGCTTGCCGAAAGCAATGAATGCGCTACTCCCCAGGGTGCAGTCAGAAGTTTTTTCTCCTGTTTTTCTTTTCTATTTGTTTTGGTGTTCTTTATTTTTTTTATGTTGCTGTTCGTATTTGTGCTAGCCACTGTAATGCCACATCTCTCTTTCTCTTTCTCTCTCTACTCCCGCAGGTGCTATGTAACACTGGCGGCCTGGAGCAGATTCCATTGCGGCAATTACCCTCGACCGTCGAGAATCTCGCATTAACGAAAAACAATTTCCCAGTCATAAAACCGGATTCGTTTGCCGGCTTGCGCGCGCTCAAAAAGCTTTCGCTGGACGGCAATAATATCACACGCGTCAAACAGTTTGCCTTCCGCGGACTGCCGCGTCTCAAGGAGCTTTCCATCCAGTATACGCCATTGCAGACGGTTGCCCAATTCGCCTTCGCCGGTCTGCAGAATCTCTCCACCATCTTGCTGAGTCACAATCAAATTGCAACCATCGAGGCCAACGCTTTCGCGGGCACTTCGAATGTCAAGCTAATTTTACTCACGAACAATCCACTCATACGCATCGACAGCTCGGCCTTCTCAAGCCTAACCAATGTCGGTCACCTGATATTGCCATCGGGCATACGTACCATTGAGCCGGATGCCTTCTTGGGCATGGATACAGTGGGACTACTAAAGCTTGCCTATATGGATTTGAAGGAGCTAGCGCCGTACACCTTCCGCGGTCTGACGAATGTGCTGTTGCTTACGCTGCAGGAGTCCGATTTGGGCATTATATGCGCGGATGCTTTCACAGGACTGGCGCAAGTCGACAAATTGCAAATACTCAACAACAAAATCGATCAGATTGAGGAGCTCAACTTCACCTACACAGCGGATATTAAGCTGCTCAAATTCCTTGGCAATCATGTGCTGGAAACACCCGATCCCAATTCGATTATCATCGATGGCGTTGCACAATTAGAGTTGGTGAATAATCACTTTCCCTGCGGCTGCCACATACACACGCTGCTCGATGGTCCACTGGTCGAGGGTGCGCATAATCTAAGCGAATTTCTGCAGAAGAACTATTGCATTTCGCCATTGGATGTGAATGGTCGCGCCATGGCCGAACTTGACATTGACTCGATCGGCCGTTGTCATGATCAGCTGACGAAGGGCAATCTCGGCTCGTCAGCCTCGTCGATGGCGCTGAGCGTCAATGTAACATTGCTCATCGCTGCGACTACAATTGAACTGAAAATCTTGCGCACCATTTCGGAGCAGCTACTCTTGCTGTGGCAGTATAGAACGCGTGGTACGCGTGGTCGGCGGCGTCGTTGGCATCCGGTCGGCAGATGAATCCACGTGCTGCTGTTGGCATCACGCTAAGTAGCTATTGTTTAAGTGATACTTATACCTACATACAAAGTTATTGATAAGTAAAGTAAAGTAATTATGGCAAATTTTATTATGCGTCAGTTTGCGGTAAATTGGTGGTAAATACTCGTAATCTAAGTATCGAAATTTATTGTTTAAGTAGCGGCGCACAAGTTGGCGTCTAGCATGAAATAATTAACTAATTGCTAAGCTTAAGGGAAACTGCATAGCTATCGTAATTAATATAGACTACTCATTCTAAGTAGGCGTACAACTTTAAGCAAAAAAGGGTTAGTTTACTTTGCTCGTGCAAGGTCTGTAATACATATACATATGTATTTGTGTAGTTAAATTTATTAAAACACGTAGGTTTGTTTCTCGATTTTTGAATTGTAACGCAGGAGGAACTATGAAGACTTCAAAATAAAGTTTGCCAACCAGTATTACGAAGCATATATTTCTTCAATTTTATTTATTGCATCTCACTTGGAGGAACTAAAAATTACTTATTAAATCTTACAAACAAATACTGATCCACAGTTTCACCAATAAAAAAAAAAAAAAAAAAAAAAAATTTTTTGTCATTTTATATATTAAAAGGCTGATAAATTTAAAATTGATTGGTGCAATCAGGCCCTAAACTTTTATTCTTTGCTAGGGCGCACAGCGTTTTATTTCCATATTCTAGAAAATATTAATTAAATTATTTTATATCGCCAAATTTCAAAACAACGTCAAAAATGTTTTTAGAAATGCCTGATAAAGACGAAGCAATAACAACTACAAAATTGAAATCAAAGTGTGGAGCGAGACGGGATTTGATTTGAAAGATTATCAAGCGCAATAATATTTAAACTTTTATATTTGAAACTGAAGTTGTTGGTGTTATGTTATTTATGCACCAATTGCTAAAATACTATCTGGGTCTTATTTTTTCAGATGTGCTATTTTTAATTAATATATATTTTTGGGAATTTAGTAAACCAGGACTGAGTATTTCATATTAAAGTAAAGCGATGTCAACTTAAATTTAATTTTAACAATTTGTTAATTTCATTAGACCCGCAAACTCGTTATCCGCGATTATTCGATAAAGTTTGTATCTCAGTTTATTTGCCACTCCTCTTAGACTCTAAACAACACAACTCTCGCTGCTGGAAAGTGCTTTCTTTTTCACGCCAACTAGGAATATTATTTCCTTTAAGTAATTATTTGCATTTGATCTCGACCGAGACACATTTTTTAATTTTCGCTTTGGAACAGAGAAGGCTTGATTTATTACCTTTCCAATGGTACTTATAACGGAATTTTTTTGATCCAACTTGACGTTTTTATTGATATTTGCCACGCCCATAATTAAAAAAAAAATATATTTTTAAGTCCATTTGAGTCAGTTTATAATTCCTTGTTATAAGGAAATTCTAAATATCAATTTTGTGTATTTAAGCTTTTGTTGTTAGTTAAATATTTCAGCTTCTGCGATTTTAAAAATTACAGTTATATAATAGGGTGGCGTGACAATACCTCTAAATGACCAATTTTTTGTAAAAAAGCTTCACCAATCTTATAACGTGCCATGTGCAAAATTTCATTAATCAATCTTGAATAGTTTTCGAATTACAAAATTAAAAGCAGCGGTGAATATTTTCGCAGTGGCTGGACTCAAGGAAAGGTCCAGTTTATGCAGCGCTTAACTGTATTTACGGATAGGTCAAATATGGAATGCTAGTAGCTGTGTGTGTGTAGAGCTGGCCTCGCTTTCTAATCAATACGAAATTACCGTAGCAGAGGTGCCGGGACTAGAGATATTTACGGAAACCATGGACCGTAGTCATTCAAAATTCAAGATTTTAATACAAATATCTGTCCGATTAGAAGGATAAACAAACATATACATACATATGTGATTCTCCCTTAACCGATATCTTTACCGAAACTTATGTTCATATATTTATGAGGAAAAGTTCGTCTTTCATGACTAAGTATTTTTTAATTAGACAATTATTGTTCTAACAAAAACTTACTAATTTCTTACAAAAATTTCAAAAACGTATAAAAATGGAAATAAAAAATATTTTCCTTTAACTAAATTCGCTTGCTAAGATTGTTGCCACCCTTCAATATGCAAAACATTCAATCTGAATTTTAAGCAATCGCTTGATATGAGGTCCACAAATACAATAATACGTATTTCTTCGAATGAATTTTCCTTTCTGCTGAACAAGTGCAATCAATAAAAGTTGTATGCATCAATACTAGGAATAGATAGATGTGTGTGTACATATGTATGTATGTATAACGCTCACAGCATTTAGTCCGCAAACGAGCAAAAAACTCAAAATCATTTAAAAAAAACTTTGGTTGCCTTCTGGTTTAAATTCTACACTACATGTTATACATACATACATACGTGTGTATATGTGTGCATAAGCACATCACTCATACGCCACGCTCGCTTTGGTTGAATGCCATACAATCAGTCAATCGAGCAGACATACTACATATCTTTTGGAATACCAAATATCTTGCAAATTCCTTCAGATCAATCATATTCTTTTGAATTGAAGGAATCTGCATTTTGCTGGCCATTGTATCTATTGTTTTATGAGTAGATATAAAAGTTGTATTTAAGCTTAAATATGTGAGTACATATGTACTATATACGCATTTGTTTATTTCCCTCTTTAAAAATGTTGGTTCAGTAGAACTTTTAAAAACACGTTTTAACTTCATACGACTATCGCACTCTGGATATGGTCATCGGAGTATTTAGCTTACAGATACATACATTGAAAGCTGATTTGCAAATAGTTTTGTTTGTGACTTTCTCTTTACTTGTAGTGTGGAAAGGCGGCTTAAGCCGAGCTCATCATGCTTTTTGCATGCTTTGGGTTTTTTTTGCTGAATTTTAAGCTGTCAATTTTAATAGCTTGATATGGGTTTTATCTTCGTCAACAAATTGCTTTTTATTCAGTTACATTTTTACTTTTTCTGCACATGAAAACATACTGGAAATAACTTTCTGCAATGGCACGTGAAGTGTATCAAGAAAATTTCGCCAGGTCATAGATTTTTTGAGAAAATTATGCCATTTTAAAGTACTCAGAATCCTTATGCCAGAATCCTTTGTCCAAGTTATTGACAGTTATATTTCAGAGCAAAACAACGCCAGCGTTACTAGTTGATGTCCCAGTGAACTCGTTGAAGAAATCTAGTGAGCAGATGAGGTGATCATCGAAATAGCACCTACATATAACTTCTACGATGTATAAATTGTTGTTGTTTTTCCACAGCATTTTTCATTGGAAACAACCTCAAGCTCAATAGAATTGTTATACCGAATTTCCAATAGACACTAAAATGACAAAAAATGTTTGCCATTTAAAAAATGCCACGGGGGAATAAACTTAATGACTATTTTCTGAACGTAATGACACGATTATTTTTTAGTGCCCAAGTTTGTCAGTACAATTTTAGCCATTTAATGCCTAGTGGAAATCCAGCATTATAAGGCTATAAATAACAAAAAGCAAAACAAATTCTTTTTTTTGACAATAATGTTTTTTTAAACTTCGCCTACGGTCTGGAAATGATTCATAATGCTGTTGAGTGCAATGTCGTCAATACAAGACTTGATCAGTTAGCCGGTACTCGGAGACAGAAAGAAAGAATACATGCACTCCTCATATAGCCCTAATTGCAAATCTTGATAAGGAAACGTGCCCCCCCCCATATCCGGGAAAATTGTTTTTCTCTCTAGATAAAGTCTTATTAATTCCATGAGAGGAGATTCAAGATTAGAGCTCAGTCGATTAGTAAGTTTTCTTGTCGGTGAATAGTCGAATAACAATTATTCGATTAACCGCTCGAATTCGATTAACCGCTCACATTCGACTAACTGCTCACTATCGAGTAATCTAAAATCGACTAGCCGAAATTCTTCGAATAGTGACAGTTTCCACCATAAAATTATTGTTATTAGCTCGATTGGAAATTTGTCAATAGGCATAAAAATTAAAAAAATATTAAAAAAACAAGTTCACTGAAAGAAAACAACTTGTCTAAAAATAGAAAATGGATAGTCGACGAGTTGTTTTTGAGCCGTTAAATGTATTTATTTATAGTTATTTTTTCCCCTTTAACCAACCAATTGGGCTACGTAATATCGGCCTTCGTAGCACTTTTAAATCTAAATAGAAGTGCCCCTTTTTTCAAGTCACATATCAGGTTTCCGAAAATATTTGACGGTAAACGAAAAACTCCTCCTATGCATTTAATCTGCTTTCCTCTCAGATAATACAGGTCTGGATACCAAACTGAACTATATACCTCACTTAAATAAATGTCATTTAAATAAATTTTCTGTTTTCTCGTTGCTAGCATCATGTTGCTCCGCAACCAGCTGTCAACTGCCTTTAACATTTCAATTTAGTTTATTTGGCTTATTTTTCGCTCATTTTTTTTCGCGGTCAACATTGTAGTATGTGTGTCGAGCAGATATGGACAGCAGCTGTCCATGTCTGTTGCGCTGACCGCGCGATCCAACAGCCGTCAGCTATCCCGCCGACAACCGCCATTCCTTTGCCTGCCGCCTTTCTCCTTAGCACTCTTTTCAATCCCTTTCAGTCTTGGGTCTTCGTCTGTCGCTTGTCAGCTGCGCGTTCGGCAACCACACGTTGTTAACTTAATTGTTTCACTTGAAATGCGCTACTCTCTACTGTTCATTTTACAGCAAGAGAGGAGGGCAAGGAATGTGTAGTCGGTTGTGAACGATGGACTGCTAAAGGCCAACAGACAATGGCCAGTTAACAAGACATGCACGTACGCAGTGTCAGTTTAGTAAATAAAGTAGTACGCGATCGGCCAGCAGTCGCAGCCATATAACCCTTCCTACATTAAAGGCGCCGCATTCGTTAGCCTACGCGTCTTGCCTCTGGCCAGCGCTGTAATGCGTATTTCTATCTCAATTATTTTATTTCATTACTGACTTGCTGACTCGTGTCATTGCAATTTATTCTTATTTAAAATAGATGGAGCAAAGTACCAAGGGTTAAGTCAAATGGACGTAAAGAGTGATGGAAGCATTGACAATTTTATTTTTGACCGACTTCACAAAAAGGAGAAGGTTATCAGTTCTTTGGAATATATTTTTTTTATTTTATTTTTTTTATGTATGTTACCGCATAACTTTGGACCACGTTAACCGATTTCTATAATTCTTTCTTAAAGAAAAGGTGTTACCTCACAGGTGGTTCCATACTAATTTAGTTTAAATCCGATCATTGGATCATGAAGAAAGTAATGATCAGGGAACGGATTTTTAGGACCTAAAAACCTATAAAAAAGGCAAAATAAAGTAACGAAATAGGCTGGAAAAGGCAAAATAAAATAGCGAAAAAGGCAGGAAAAGGCACTAGGTGTTGCAAAAAAGGCAAAACAAAATAGCGAAAAAGGC